CAGCTTATTTCCTTCCTTCCTTCCTTCCTTCCTTCCTTCCTTCCTTCCTTCCTTCCTTCCTTCCTTCCTTCCTTCCTTCCTTCCCTCCTTCTTTCCTCCGCTTCTTTCTTTCTTTCTTTCTTTCTTTCTTTCTTTCTTTCTTTCTTTCCTCTATATCAGCTTATTTCCTTCCTTCCTTCCTTCCTTCATTCTATCAACTTCTAACATGCATTTAGAACAAGAAAAAATCAAAATGAAAATAATCCCTTCCTGATGCTGAGTTAATAGACTATTTTCTATTCGGGTTGTTTGTGTGTTTTGCCTTTTTAATACAGTTTACAATATTATTGTCACTTTTTACTGTTCACTGATGCCATTTCTGTTTGTTATTTATAGTTTGGTCTATTTAAATAAACAGGTCAGTGTCTCTTTACCAACCTGTTATTCAGACTCCCCTAATTCAGCTGGCTAGTTGTTATCAGAGTAAATCCCTGTTCAACATGAGTCTGACAACTAAGTAAGTAGATAATAACTTTAAACTTTAGTACAGGCTCTGATAGGCCGGGATTGGTATCAAAAGTGAAAAAAGCTGGATCAGGACATCCCTAGAACAACCCCGCTTCTTTTTTTTTTTTAATTCAGTGCATTCTTAGGTGTTACATTTCTGTGGGGTGGCCCTTTTCCCCACGTTTCTTCCTGAATCCGAATGCATCCATTGGTTATAGCAGAAGCAAACAGACTCTCAGGGCCTCTGTCTGCCCCCCCCCCCCCCCAGGCCCCGGCCCCTGGGGGCTCAGCTGCCTGGCCCTGGGACACAACTTCTACTACAACTTTGGTCTGGTTCTGGACGGCACGCCGTGCGGCCAGGAGCCCGGAGCGCTGTGTGTCCGGGGCCGCTGCCTGGTGAGTCGCCTCTTACTAATGCTGCTTTTCAGGAAGCCACACAGTTCAAATGCAGAGATATTCTCCACCTCCTCCCTCAGAACCGGTCACTAGCTGAGATATGACAATGAAAATTACTTTTTTTTCCAACTGAATGGGGCTGATAGATGATTATTGACTGGAAAAATCTGCTACAAGCTACAATTAAACACAGTATTGTGTGATAAATCAATTAAAATAGTGACAATAATTCAAATAAATTCAATTTATGTCGATTTTAAAGGAACAAGTTAGCCGTTTTCTGCATATCTTGAAGGCATGACACTTATTTTCCCATTTTATTACACCCCAATAACATAAAACATTAATGCAATCTTTCCTTTCCTTGTTCTTTGACATCAGTTATTCTTATAATTATCAGGCAGAGATAAGTTTTGTGGTTATATATTATGTTTTAGAGCCCTTAAGCCTCAAAGTCCTGATTTCTACTTTTATTCCAGTTTCCCTTTGAGCCACATAACTGCAGCACTCTTAAAAAAAATCTAGATATTAAAACATCTCAAAGGAAAATGTCTTTTCCGAAATCTGCCTCTCGCTATTTTCAGATTTAACAAGGTTTTTAACCCACAATCTGCATTTAAGCTTAGCAAAATGATGTTCCAGAGTATTAAGATAACAGTTTGAAAAGCCTAAAGGGAAATGGGGACACAACATGACTGGAAGGACCAGAACGAGGCAAGTTAAATGCAAAAGGGCGAATTTTATTAGGGTCCAGAAACACAGCAGCAGCAATGTCTCATGGGACAAAAACTCTGGTCAGGTCAAAGGTCAGACACACACAATAACCCGACAGAAAGCAGCTGGGAAGCTTCAAGACAAGCCGGCAAACGGGGGAAAAAACTGGGAAGTATGAGTACCAGGGAGGTAATGAGTGATAGCAAACAGGTATGCAAGAAGAATTAAAGAAGGAGGAAACAAAACAGGCGTCAGGAAAATATATAGAGACACAGAAATAGTCAAATCAGTGTCAAATTACCGGCCGATCTGCCTCCAAAGGCATAAAATGGCTCTTATAATGAATATATAGATGAGTAAACTAATAAAACTAAGAATTCAGGTCAGATTTGTATCTAAAAGTATATTTATTTTTTGCTTAATCAGATAGTTTTTCTCTAAGCAAACTATCTATAATCCTAATATTAAGAGCAAGAGTTAATCCTCAAGTTGTTCTTTGTTCGAGTAAGAAATGGGGTTCGCACAATTCAACACTTCATTTTCTTTTCAAATTTCAAGAACAAACTCATAGCATTGGGAGAATTAACATTATGAGCGCTGTGACGTATAATTAGGAGAATTAAGATGTGACATTACAAGATTAAATTATAAGGATTATAAGGAAAAAGCACCAACGTTAAAAGAATACATTTTTAACATAATGAGAAAAAAGCAGTAAAATTACAAGATTAAATTTAGAACATTACGAGAAAAAAATCATAAAATTACTAGAATAAGGGTCTTGTAATATTATGATTTTTTTGGGGTATTTGCATGATTTTACTGTCTTAAAAACCCTCTGTGTGGCCCTTGTTCCCCTTCATAGATTTGGTCTAACAATTAGGTGTTGCGGGTGCAGAATGTTAGAAACTGGTAATAGAAACCTCACCTATGTGTCAATTAGTAGACGGCCATTTTGCCTAATTGTCACCAAACAGGAAACAGGAGAGGTAGAACAGTGGCCTGTTCTTCTGCACACTGTGGAGCTGGTGGCTGACCCTCTGTTAGGATAAAAAGACGTTTCTCAGACCAACAGACGAAGGGTTGCTGTTGGTTTAGGTCCTTTGAGCCTCAGAAGAGCCTCGGTTTTCTGTCTCCCACTTATGGAGAGAGATAAATATTGTAAATATTGGGCCTTTTCTGTTTATGCTCCTTCTCTCTGGAGCTCAGGGAGGCCCAGACTCTTCAAAGCTATTCTCAAGACACACTATTTTAAAACTTGCTATTGATTTTGCTTTTGTTTTATATAATTTTCTTAATGTTGTTGTTTTTGTTTTTATATACGCTTACTCGTCATATTTTTCTGTGGATTGTTATTTTATCTACGGTGCTTTGAGAAGCAGCTTTTAAAGGCGCTCCATCAAATAAAATGTCATTATTATTATTATTATTATTAATATTATTGGTATCATCATTATTATTATTATTATTATTATTATTATTATTATTAGTAGTAGTAGTAGTAGTAGTAGTAGTAGTAGTAGTAGTAGTAGTATTATATTGACAACATGTCAGGATTGGATGTAAGTAGTGCCCCTGCTAGCAACCTCCAAGTAAAGGTGGGAAATTGTAGTGATTTTTACCATCAAAACCGTCCCAGGATTAGAACTAAGAATCCCCACACGTGTCCAGACGGTGTCTTTTCCTGGAGGGATCCTCTGGGTTTGGGTGAGACGATGCCAGGCCTCATACAGAGAGTATGGTGAAGAGCTTCCAGGTGCAAGGCTGGCCTCGTTTTCCACCAATTCTTATCCAAGGACACAACAAAAGACAGTGGAGAAAACAATAAAAATGCTGACTGAAAAACAGTTGATGCATCATCCAGGAAAAGGAAAATTCACAACTTCCCAATCGTCTTATAACAAACAGAATGTAGATGGGACTTCATACCTTTACACAGGTTTTAATCATGATGGTTGAGGGTTAAAAGTACAGATTTTATCTTCTCATACAACGTTTTTTGGTATTACCTGAGAGAAAAAGGCTGAATGGAAGGATTTTAAGCTTTAAGGGTCCATCCCTTCATGGCTCGCTGTGGCACAAAAAACCCCAAATGTGGCATGACAGGACCTTTTTTTGTATTGTTTCATGAGGCTAAATGGTTTAAACCTACAGTTGTTGGTCCAGAAACAAAAACATGATGCTGAACGGTGGTTTTTCTCATGATGTAGCCTCACAGGAATTAGGCTCTTGGTCCGTTCTGGCCCCGGCCCTCTCTGTGGGGGATCTGTTCTCTCAGGCTTTGCTCTCTCCAGGTATTTTGGCTTAAAAGCAAGAATGTTTGGTTCCAGGTTTAGCAAAGGAGAACGTTTGGTGAGATGGGCCCATGATGAAGTCATTTATTCTCCTCCATTAGCCTGAATGGGGTCCTGACAAAATAAGGATTGTAGACTTCAGATCATTTTATCCAAATGTGACCATATTCAAATGGAGCAACAATTAAATGTAAATTAAATTACATTTTTAAAAATTAATGTATTTTATTATTTGTTTTGTACATATATTATATTTGATATGAAAAAGAAACTTTTTGGGAAAGAGATTTGGCTAATGCTAATGCAAATATTACAATGTTACAATGCTAAACAATAGTTTCAGCATTCCCTTTTTAATGTATTTTTTTATCATGTTTAATCAAACAGTGGGACTAAATGACCACTGTATTTAGCTTTATTTTTATTCTCAACAATTGGAATAGTAATAATAATAGTAATAGAAACCCCTCAGATTGTTTTTAAGCCTAAACAAATTAGTCTTTATTATGTCTATGTTTATTATTAAGGTTTTAAACAACTTTTAATCAGTTTAAACATCTGTGAGGTGAGAAAATGACTTCATGTGCTATTCCTGGAAAATTAAACATGCTGCCTCTTATTCTAATACCTGGCTAGATTAAGACTTTTTAGGGTGCTTCACAGGTTTAAACGTTTACAGATGAGTCCACAGTAAACATCAGGGACAAAATAGTGGTGATTAGTGACTCAGAAAGGCTTCTGAAGTGCATGTATTTTTAGTTATTAAGGTTCGAAGCATCGCTTTCTGGGTTTAAAACTTTATTTGAATCACCCACTCTCAGAATTCATCTGAAAAACCAACTGTGGATCTGTTTGACTCTCCACACGGAGGGTCAGCCTGACCTGCCTCCGTCTTTATACGCCCTCCCATCTCCTCCCGAAAGCTTCTTCATTTCCTGTTGTGCTCACATGGAGGGTTTAGTGTTATCACCTCTGCCTGGGAGCCTCCCCTTTGATTAACTCGCCCTGCAGAGAGCGGGAGGGAAGCCAGCAGAGAAAGGGCTGTAATCTACAGAGAAACCGGCCCCTCCACCCACCCCTCCACCCACTCCTCCACCCACTCCTCCTCCCACTCCTCCCCTCTGCTCTTTGCTTTGACATTTCACTGTTTACAGAGACAGCTGGCCAGCCTGGCCCCCCCTCACAGGCCCCTGGTTGCTGTTACTCCCCTGAGAAAAGGGTCGGAAAAGACAGGGAGGCAAATAAGGGAAGGGGGCCCGGAGGGGGGGGGTTAGCCCGGCCTGGCAGAGGGTGTCAGACAAAGCCCAGAGGAAAAGGTTGGGATCTCTCAAAAGAATGTGTTGCCTCTCCTGGGTGTCTGATATCCCAGATATCCTCCCTAAAACACACCTCTGCTCCCTGGTTTTTAATCAATTTGAACCCTATAAAGTCAAATGTGTCATATGTGATCCGGTTTCTTTTGGATCTGAGAATTTTAGCATCATTCAGTGGTAAAAGCTTTGCTCAAACCCCTGTTGTACACATTCAGATATACCTGATAACAGCCAGTAGAAGACCACACCAACATATATTTTTGACTTATTGAACGCTAATTTGATCAAAATAATTTCTGTTTTTTTTGTGGGGGCCAAAGAAAGACTTCAGACTAAAAAAATCCGATATTCTTCCTATTTTTCTTGGATCAGGCTTTAAAGGGTTAAGCAGGCATCGGACAAAAAATATATTTACATTTTTATTTATTTTATTTGAACTTATTTTATTCTATTTTCTTATCTTTTTTTTTTTACTTTAATTTTCTTTGTTGACAATTACAAGGTGTGAAAAAGAGGCAAGAGAGGCAAAAACAAAAACAAACACACACACAACATAAACAATATTCTATTTTATTTTCATCCTATTTTATTTCATTGTGTTTATGGATTTTAGCTTTTTAGTTTTGACCTCATTTCCTCCAACTGTGATATCTGGACAACACTTTGGTGCTTTAGAAATAAAGTTTGAGTTGAGTTTTGAAGGCCAAACTCTCGTGTTTGTGTGTGTGTGTGTGTGTGTGTGTGTGTCTGTGTGTGTGTGTGTGTGTCTGTGTGTGTGTGCGTACAGAAGCCCGGCTGTGACTCCATCTTGGGCTCGGAGCAGCAGGAGGACGTGTGCATGGTGTGTGGAGGACACAACACCACCTGCCTGCTCCACCGGAGTGTGTACCAGAGCACCGGCCTGGAGGCAGGTAGGAGACCCCCCCAGTAGGAGACCCCTCCAGTAGGACACCCTCCAGTAGGAGACCCCTCCAGTAGGAGACCCTCCTGGACCTCCTTCTGCCCTCCTCCACTGTAACCCAGGCCACGTTTTCTGGAAAAAGTACCAGTTCACTGACCACATTTGACAGATTTCAGGAAGAGGGAGGAAAAGCTGCTTGTGGTTGTGCAAACTAAGAGAGTCCAGGTTAAATATTCTGCACAAATAGGTGATGATGGTCGAACACTTGAAGAAGAACGTGACATTCTGAGATAATAGTTTTAGTCAGAGATGGCTCTTAAACATGGCCGCCATCTTAAAAGCCGCCATATTGGATCAAGAGCTATTTTCCTCTAATGGAAAGTGGTCATGCAGCAAGTGGAACAAGAGCAGAATTGGGTTAAAAATCAAATGAGGAAATAAAATTAGCTATAGCTCTTTTGGTAAAATCCAGGCAGAAAGGCAGGAAGTTTAATATCTTAAAATAAGTTATTGTTCCAAGTTTAATTTGGAATAACTTCAAGGAGCTTACTTATTTGATAGCATACTGCACACACAGTCCTACATACCTTATGAATAGCCTTTTTCTATCTCAGATGTTTGCATATGGGCTCCAAACTCTAAGAATTAAAGTCTTAGTATTGAATGCCCAATAACAAGGGACATTTACACACTATAGGACCGGTTTGATACAACACAATTTCGTACGATATATATAATTAGGGGGTCCCCCTCCATCAGTTTGGGGTCCTTGGCCTGGAAAAACTTGAAAACCCCTGCTTTAAGTCATTAAATGGCTCTCCGTTATATTTATGGAGCAAATCAGCCAACAAAAGTCTTTAACAAATGGCCAGAAAAATACAAATAATTCACTGGTAAATAATAACAACTTCATGAAGCGCATTTAGAAATTTGGCTAATAACTCAAAAGTTGAATTCAGTGACACATTTGATAGGTGATTTCTACTTTATTGTGATAATCTACTTCCTATCAAGCTTTAAACAGCCACGATTTCATATGATATATATAATTAGGGGGGTTTGGGGGTCCTTGGCCTGGAAAACCTTGAAAACCCCTGAATTAAAGCATTTATTAGTCTGAGCCTGCTAGTTCCCGTTAAACTGAGGTTAAACAGAGCTGACAGTCCTTTAGCTCTTATTTCTTATGTCGAATTATTGGTGCTCAGGCGGAGCCAGAAGAAACTGATAATGAAACTTTGTTTTGGGGACCTCGAAGCCTTGAGAGTTTTCCGTAAACTCGCACTTTAACCCATTTATCCTGTTTGAAAATGGCCATACTAACATCACTGGAGCATGAAACCTTCAGTTAGCCTCACTTCTGGAGCCAGGTTCAGATTCTCCTGTAAAAAAAACGATTTCCTGGGCCTTTTTATGGCCAGGATTGGGGAAAAACCTGTCTGATTGGCTATCTCTGCTTTGCTAGGAGGACCCTTTGGATACAACGAAGTGGCCATGATCCCAGCCGGAGCCACCCACATCCGGGTCACCGACAACAGCAGGAATTACCTCGGTAAGGTTCAACTCTTTACCCAGAGACAGGATAGGGGGGGGCACCTGCTTTCTTAACCCCCCCCCCTATATGTTTTTCCAAGAAACATAACCACCAGAGGTGTCTATTCTCATCCCTGTTTATGACATCTAAATAAAACAGGGCCAGAAATGGCACTCTGTGGTTTGGAGTGATGCTCAAAGAGACTATCTCACCCCGGGGGGGTCGGGGGGG